AATGAAAATATGCTGCCTAAAGACACACACACACACACGCACACGAAAATGAGTAGTTCCGATATGAGGACGGCTTCGTATAATTTCACGTCGTGTGTAATAAAACGAAACACAAGAACTTATCGCAACATATGAAAAACGAATTCTCTCACGAAAGGAAGTATTTATTTGCAATCTTTAATGCTAAATAAGTTTTTTTTTTATTTTTCGTGTAGCGTTACAATTTCCATTGCACATATTATATTTAATAATGTATGTTTAAATATATGTGTGTGTCTGTGTGTGATTCCGTTATTAAAACTCTATATATGTAAAGAATCTTCAGTCATCCGTTGAAAACCCTACGACCCTAGTAACTACTTCGGCCCGATACTTGCACCTTACATTCTCGCGTGATATCTGGGGAACACATCCTAATCGACTCCAGGTGGGAGTGTTTGTTTTATATATCTATCTGTCCAGTATTGAAGCTATCATGCTTGCAACAAGGGATGCAGGTTTGAGGTCACGTGCCTCTGTATTCAGCGGCCGGAGTGCCCCAAGTCATTCCTTCATTGGACTTTTTCTACTTTTTCATGCGCTTTTCCTCCACAGTCTCTCCTTAGAATTCATTGACAGAAAGAAAGAGAGAGAGAGAGAGGGTGGGGGAGAGAAAAAGAGAGATAGACGCAGAAAGAGAGAGAGAGAGATTAAAATAATTCGTCCAAGGAAATGGTGCCGGAATAGATATGAAATCAAAACGCCATACATCTTTCCTCCAAAACTGTCCTTGATGTTATATATATATATATATATATATATATATATATAATACTCACACACACATATATGCAAAGAATTAATTTGCCCTTGTTTTATATATATATATAATATAATATATTTATTAAAGACATTTTTATGTTTAACGTTCTTTTTATAGATACAAGTATTTAAGTAAATGCTCTGTTTATAATAAACAGTATTAAATAACATTTACCGGCCTGAATGTCCGAGAAATTTTCATAGAAAATATTCGTCCTTTGACAGGATTCGAACCTGCATCCTATACGGAAACGTCATTCATTTCCTTTTTTTCACAATGCGGTCAGTTTTAGACCCGCTGGTGTGACAGGGAGTAATCTGTTTCTATGTTTTCTTTAGATTAGGTCATATGCAGTGGTTTGCGGTAATATGAATCTATTTTCGGGGTGTATGATGAAATTCGTTTGGCCTTTAAAAATATTGCGTGTCCGTGATTGCATCAGATTTTTATCACGCCCAGACACTATTGTCTCGACTGCTGATTAGTTTTCCTACGGCCATTGTCTGCGATGGACGTTACTTCGAGGAAACATACGAAAATTATAACGCTGAATGAACAAAGTGACAAGCCTTACCAGTGAGCAAATCAAAGTATTATAGACTGGCCCGCAAACTCTCCTGATTTTAATCCCATCGAGAATCTGTGGTCAATCTTCAAGGAACGACTTCGTGGAATGGACATACGAAGTACTAACATGTGCAATGGAAATTAGAATTAGAATTAGAAGCAAAGAAAAGAGTGCTGAATTGTTATGTGATTGCAAATCTCTTGTATTGCAGTGAATTTTGGATGAAGAGAAAGAAAAACAAATGTGGTTCCATAGACTTTTTCTTTCTGTGTACCGTGTACTTTCAGGACGTAGGCGATCATGTCTCTCCACCTCCCTCTATCCCTTACAGCTCTCAACAAGTTCCTTCCCTCTAGCACCTCTCCCAGAAAACGTTCTCTCATCCACTTGCTGAAGGCCGCTGGGTATGACACGTGTTGTTTTCCCTTGTCTCTCTTTCCCTCTATTCGGCACGTGAGTATCAGATTCTCCAGGCCCACCTTCCTCATTATGTGTCCCAGGAACTTCAGCTGCCTCTTCCTGATTTTAAACATAAGCCTCCTCTTTATTTGCACCCTCTCTAAGACCTCATCGTTCCTCACACGCTCGGTCCATGATATCCTCAGCATCCTTCTGTAGAACTACATCTCCGTCGCCTCGAGTCTCTTCTTCATCTTTGAGGAAATCGTCCAACATTCGCTGCCGTAAAGAAGGACAGATGTCACGTAACAGCTCACTATTCTTTTCTTTGTTACCAAAAAATCCTTCTGTCTCGCAATACTCTACCCAGCTTTTGGAATGTGTCCTTGGGCATCTCAATACGTCCATATCAATACATCTACGGATCTCAGTATCCATATATATATATATATATATATATATATATATATATATATATATATATATATATATATTTCTTAGCTGTATGTGTAATTGTTTAATAAGATTTAAATTACTCATTTGTTTATAGGTCTAATTGAGTCATCTGTAGTTGAACACTTCCGGTTTCACAGGCTTTTAACAATACAACATGGTGATAGGTCATACGGATTTGCCACTAGACAATCATTTATGAAGAGTGGTCATTTGATAAGTCGGATGGGGATGAGAAATCTTATTTCTTTCTTTACATATATATATATATATATATATATATATATATATTTTGTTTTCTTTTTGCAAATCCACCAGTCCTTTAAAGAATAAATATGGAATTTTTGTAGCACCTCCTGTATATAAAATTTTGAAATATATGCAACTCTCTCTCTCTATTGGTTCTCTCATATCCCCTCTGTTGAGGTTGGTCAATCCTCTCCTCTCTCAGCCCTCTCTCAATAAATAAAATTCAATCCCCCTAATTCTATAATAATATCTCTCTCTTCTTATCTGAACAGTTTTTACTTAAAACATCCGTCTTTAGTCATTATTCCTTAGTAACGTTTTAGCTATCTCTTCCTTCATTTTGAAACTTACGTTTTCTGTTTTGTCGTTCCCAATCTCCACTGTCTTAACAGAAGCTTTGTTTCGATTGGACTGCTTTATGGCTACTGATGACAGAACATGCAATATAAGCGAACCATTTTGCAAGACCAGATTTATCAACATCATATCACCGTACAGCCTTGTGCAAATTAATTCAAACAAAACGAATAATTTCATTAGTATTTAATTGTTTTTCATATTTTTCCAAAGAAACATGGCCCAGTACACATGTTAGTACTTCGTTTGTCTATTTTACGAAGCTCGTTCCTTGCAGACTGACCACAAATTCTTGACTGAATTTAAATCAGAAGAGTTTCCGGGCCAGTCATATAATACTTTGATTTGCTCACTGGTAAGGCTTTCGTTCGTGCAGCATTACAATTTTCGTACGCTTTCTTGGAGTAACGTCCATCGCAGACAATGGTCATAGGACAACTAATCGACAGAAGACACCCTCTCTCTTTTTTTTTAATCATTTAAGCCTAAGGAAGGTAATAAATCCACTAAGACGCAAGTCGGTTACTGACCGTTAAAGAATAGGAGAAAACCTCAATCAAGGAGATAGAAAAAAAATGAACAGGATTTAAGAAGACAGAAGTTATTGATTGATATATATTTATTAAATCGAATTCACCCCAAGCAATTTACATTTGAATTGATAGATTTAACTGTAATTTCTATGCTAACAGTTTCTTTTCACGCACTTCTCAATTGTGGTTCACTTTTCCTGTGTCATGCTTTCCGACCAAATTTGATCTTCAAAAATTTAAATGCAATGTCAATCGTAATTACTCTTCTATTTTTCTCGACCTTTAATAATTTTTCTGTTTTCTAATTCTTTCGCATTCAGTAACCCCTCGTGTCTTGGTGGCTTTATCGCCTTGCTTCGGGTGAAATGATAAAAAAATAAATCAATCGTTAACTTCTGTCTTCTTAATTCCTGTTCTTTTATTGTTGGCTCTCCTTAAAAAGTTTTTTTTTTTCATATTCTCTAACACACAATAACTTTCCTGCGTCTTAGTGGCTTTATTACCTTACTTAGGGTGAAATGATTAAAAAAAGAGTTTCCTATTCTTTATAGAAGATTAATCCTAACTTGAAATACCTGCGTCCATAACTTCCAGCCGCACCCTCAGAAGCATCGAGGGGTGCCCATTACCCCGATTTTACGTCCTATGAGGATCTCTTCCAGCCAAACATCCTCCACACCATCACTTAGCGACCTGCTGACCGACCCACATAAGTTATCTGCCAATTCGACCAGCCATCTGCAATCTGACGACGACCCTTTGCCAGACCACACAACCGCTAGAAGGATGTCTTCCTTCAGTACCCCCAGCAGATTAATCTGACGCCTGACCAAGGTGCGAGAGCTGAAGGTGGTTCTCATCGGCTCAATGCTTTCATGGCATGAGGATTAGGAGCGGTAGCAGCACAATCTTTCCCGCAGACACTCGAATTATATTATTTTATATCAGGATCTACAATGGTATGATTTAAGACAATCTCGTCTTGCAAAAGAGTTTCAATTGTATTGTTTTTGCCGTTGGAATTTTTGAATTCATGTGGTTTTTGTCGTTTGATAAAGTTCATTCTGATTCTGTAGCGCCAGGATTCATTTACTTGAAGCCATTTTTAATAATTGATCAGAAAAAACCCACCTGTACGTCCTGTTTATTTTAGCCACTGGATGTATTTCCTGTTTATGCTATCACCAGTTCCGATTTCCGCTCACATATTGATGCAGCTGAAGTAAGGCCAAAGGCCTTTCCTCAATCGATTTCAAACACACCCATTAAACTCTCCGT